CACTCACGCCTCTGCAGTTGGCCCCACAGCTCTGTAGTTGGCTGTTGTGCTGATCAGCTCTGTTTCCTCGTAGTCCTTGTTCACACCATCTCTCCTCTCCTTGGCTCGATCCCGGTACTTCTCGGCCAACTCCCGCTCGCGCTCGATCTCCTGCTGCCGCAGCTTCGCGTAGTAGCTGGGGTTGGGAAAACAGCTCTGAGTCAGAGGGACATGTCCCCAAGGCCACACATCTGCCTTGTTCTCCTCCCAGCCCCTTCCCCAAAACACGTCCTAAAGCACCGTGGGACACAAGATGCCTGGAGGACACCAGACAAGATGGACCAGGGATCTCCAAAGAGGAGCTCAGTCTTCCCTTCCAAAGGGAAGAGGCTCAGCACAGTCCTGCTGCCCAGGTGTGCCCAGAAGACAGTCACTGATGTCCCACCACTGCCCTGCTCTGCCAAGCCCCCACTGAGCCTCTCCTGCTTCTTCCAGAGGTGAAGCTTTATCCCCATCCAGCTGCCACCATCCCACATCTGTTCCCCCCAGCAGTGACAGTCTGAGCTCTTCTCACTCTGCTTGGCTCCAAAGCCCCCAAATAATCCAGGCCACTCAGGGTCCTCTTTGGTAGCCTATGAGCTCAAAACCTTCCTCCATGTGAGGGACACAATGTAGGAAGAAAAGTCCTGATCTAGGAAGACAAGTCTTGATGCACTTGATGCATTTACCTTTTCTTCTTCCTTCTACGAGCTGCTGGATCTTCATCTTCATTGTACTCCCGGGGCATCCTGGAAAAGGGCAAGAAACCACATGTACAGTCTGCAGAGCCACATAGACATGGACAGCTGGAGGGCAAGGCCCCTCAGAAACAGCAGGGCATTGAGATGCTCAAAAATGGGAGCAGCAGAGCCTCATTTCTCCCTAGGTCCAGTCTATCCGTGGAAAGAGGGAGGAAAACACTGATTTTCACAGAACAAAACCTAAATCTGCCTCCTGCATGAAGTGTCTTAACAGCCTCAGAGGACTTGCTCTGTTATTTAAAACAACCCTGGCCCACCAGTTACCCCACAGGTGCCCAGCACGAAGCAGGGCCAAGGCCTGCTCCTCGGGCCCCATCTCCACACCCATTAACAACCCCCACAGTCCCACTCACTCATGGTGACGAGATTTGGACGGTGGCGCCGACGTTGGCGCAGCCCGCGGGGTCATGAGCAGCTTCCTGAAGTCTTCATTGGTCAGCTTGGACCTGGGAGGGAGAGGGGAAAACACAAACTGTCACCTCCCAGCGAGCTCTGGCAGCCTGGTGGCTCCTGAGGAGGCAGAGGGTCTGTCAGCACGGGCTGTGGGACAGGGCTGGGGTCCTCATGCTGGGAGCCCCAAGGCTGCGTTGCCCCGGACAGTCAGAGATCATGGAATCCCAGACTGGTTTGGGGTGGAAGGGACCTTCAAGAGCATGTACTTCCACCCCCCTGCATGGGCAGGGACACCTCCCACCAGCCCAGGTTGCTCCAAGCCCCATCCAACCTGCCCTTCAACACTGCCAGGGATGGGGCAGCCACAGCTTTCCTGGGCAACCTGGGCCAGGCTCTCACCACCCTCACAGCAAAGAATTCCCTCCTCATGTCCAACCTAAATCTCCCCTCTTTCAGCTTGAAATCATTCCCCCCTCATCCCACCCTTCCCTGCCCTTGTCCCAAGCCCCTCCCCAGGGGCAGCCACAGCTTTCCTGGGCAACCTGGGCCAGGCTCTCACCACCCTCACAGCAAAGAATTCCCTCCTCATGTCCAACGTAAATCTCCCCTCTTTCAGCTTGAAATCATTCCCCCCTCATCCCACCCTTCCCTGCCCTTGTCCCAAGCCCCTCCCCAGCTTTCCTGGAGCCCCTTCAGGCACTGGAAGCTGCTCTCAGGTCTCCCTGGAGCCTTCTCTTCTCCAGGCTGAACACCCCAACTCTCCCAGCCTGGCTCCAGAGCAGAGCTGCTCCAGCCCTCCCAGCACCTCTGTGTCCCTCAACACTGCCAGGGATGGGGCCTCCACAGCTTCCCCGGGCAACCTGGGCCAGGCTCTCACCCCCCTCCTCATGTCCCACGTCCATCTCCCCTCCCACAGCCCGAACTCACTGGTGGAACGAGTGCGAGTCCTCCACGTCGTGCCCGTCGGGGGCCAGGGGGTTGGAGAACGGCTCATCTGGGGGGCAGCACAGGGAGGGGGGGGG